GATTTGGGGGGGGGATTTGGGGGGAATGTACCATTCTGGGGATTTGGGGGGGGATATTTTGGGGGGGAATGTACCATTGTAGGGATTGGGGGGGGAATTTGGGGGGAATGTACCACTGGGGGGGCTTGGGGGGGATATTTGGGGGGGAATGTGCCATTGTAGGGATTGGGGGGGTATTTTGGGGGGAATGTACCATTGGGGGGTTTGGGGGGGGAAATTTGGGGGGGAATGTACTATTGGGGGGGCTTGAGGGGATATTTGGGGGGAGAATGTACCATTGGGGGATTTGGGGGGGATTTGGGGGGGATATTTGGGGGGGAATGTACCATTGTAGGGATTGGGGGGGGATATTGGGGGAATGTACCATTGGGGGATGGGGGGGGTATTTTAGGGGGGATGTACCATTGGGGGGGTTGGGGGGGTATTTGGGGGAGGAATGTACCATTGGGCGATTTGGGGGGGGTATTTGGGGGAGAATGTACCAATGTAGGGATTGGGGTGGGATATTTTGGTGGGAATGTACCATTGGGGGGCTTGGGGGGGTATTTGGGGGGGAATGTACCATTGTAGGGATTGGGGGGGGGTATTTTGGGGGGGAATGTACCATTGGGGGGGCTTGGGGGGGATATTTGGGGGGATATTTGGGGGGATGTACCACTGTGGGATTTGGGGGGGGGGGATATTGGGGTGGGACATACCATTGTGGGGATTTAGGGGGTGATCCAGGGATGGGATGTACCATTGTGGGAGTTGGGGGGGGATATTTGGGGAGGAATGTACCATTGGGGGGACTGGGAGGGGGCACAGATGGGGCTGAACCACTGGAAGGGGGGGATTGGGGTTGGGGTGGACCATTGGGGGGGGGCAATGGGGGGGTGGAATGTACCAATGGGGGGATTTGGGGGGGGATTGTGGGGTGGGGGTCATACCATTGTGGGTATGGGGGGGCTGGGCCGTACCACTATAGGGATGGGGGGGATGTGGGCTGAAACCCTGTGGGGTTGGGGGGCTCTGGGTCATACCATTGCTGGGACCGGGGGGGGATCGAGGTCCTCCCACCGTGGGGTTGGGGGGGGTGAGGCCCAACCGAATGCAGCCCCCAGGGCCCCCCCCAAGGTCCAGAGGGGGCCATGGGGGGCAGCAGCGGCCTACGGGGCCTAGGGGGGCAGCAGTGGCCTACAGGGCCTCGTCCGCCCTCGCACACGTGTGTGCACGGAGGTCGATGTGAACACACACACGTACACGCGTGTGCACGCTCAGAGACACCCGTGCACACTCGTACACCCCCATACACCCCCCTAAACACCCCTAAACACCCGTCCACACCCCTACACACGTGTGCACACTCACAGACAAGCACACACACGTACCCCATCCACACCCCTACGCCCGCGCACGCACGTGCGCACAGGCCCGGCCGCCACCGGCTGCCTCCTTCCCCCCCCCCCCTACCCCCCCGGGGCCGTTCCCGTCTGGCCCCCGGGTCCCAGAGGAACAGAAAGCAGAAGGCGGCCGCCCCCGGTTCCCCCCCCCCCCAAGGCGCAGGAAAACCCCGGCTTCCCGTTCCCGCCACCGCACCGAGCCCCGGGGCTGCTTTCGGCACCGGTGACGGCACGACGAGGCCGGGGGGCACCGGGGACGTGTCCCCAGTGCGACCCTGCACCCCCCCCTCAAAGTCCCCATCTAAGCTTTGAGTGTCGCCCCCCCCCCAAAAAAAAAAAACAAAAAACCATCCCCACCCACAAAGGAGACGGAGGCGGGTGGAAAAGCCACATTTTAATACAAACATCGCCCGTGGGCGGGTGCCGGGGTCGGGGGTCCGCGGCGGGGCCCCATCCGCGCGCCAGCACGCGGTGGGAGGACGCTGGTGTCCCCCCCCTTCACCTTCCCCCCCCAAAAAAAAAATAATAAAAAAAAATAACCCCCCCCCTCCCTCACCTCCACCCCACGGCGTTTCCCACGGGGCTGGGTTTTTCCCGAGCTTGGGGAGCCCCACGGGGAAGGGAATTCGCCACCGGCGCCGGCGGTGCCGCGCCGACCCGTCCAACGGGTCCCGGCGGCGGCCCCGGGGCTCGGGCAGGGCGTGGGAAGGAGCACGCGTGGCCGTGCCCGCGCACACGCACGCGGCACACGGGAGAGTGGGGAGACTGGGAAGGGGGTTGGGAGGGTGTTTGGGGGATCTGTCCGTCCATCCGTACCTGGAAAGGGAAGCCCGGCCCCCGAAACGGCGCCCTTCGTACCGCTGTGCCCGCTGTGGGGTGTCTGTGGGGCCGTGGGGGGCCAGGGGTGGCCATGGGGTGGCCATGGGGGATCCTTGGGGTGGCCATGGGGTTTCCATGGGGTATCCATGGGGTATCCATGGGGTTTCCATGGGGTTTCCATGGGGTATCCATGGGGTATCCATGGTGTTTCTATGGGGTATCCATGGGACATCCACAGGACACCCATGGGGTATCCATGAGGTTTCCATGGGGTATCCATGAGGTTTCCATGGGGTGTCCTTGGGGCAACCCTGGGATATCCATGGAGCATCTCTGGGATATCCATGGGATATCCATGGGGCGTTCACGGGGCACCCATGGGGTGTCCCTGGGTGCCCACGGAGCATCCATGGGGTGTCCACGGGGGGGTCCACGGAGCATCTACGGGGTGTCCGTGGAGTATCCATGGGATATCCATGGGATTTCCATGGAATATCCATGGAACATCTGCGACGTGTCCATGGGATGCCCAAGGGGGCGTCCACGCGGCATCCGTGGGGCGTCCGCGGGACCCCTCAGACGGAGGTGGTGCACTCGCGGGTGATGGGCGAGGTGGGCAGCTCGTGCTTCTGGGTGCAACGCTCCAGCGAGCTGGAGCTGCGCAGCGGCAACATGCAGCGCCCGGGGGGCTCGCTCCCCCGGCCGGCCCCGCAGCAGCACAGCACCCGCAGGAACTCCCGGCGCATGTCCTTGCTGCGCAGCGTGTAGATGATGGGGTTGGCGGCCGAGTTGAGGGTGGCGAAGGCGAAGAAATAATTCGCCTTGTAGAGGATCCGGCACGCCCGGACAGGGCAGGAGGCGTCCATGAGGAGGATGATGAAGGCCGGCAACCAGCAAACGATGAAGGCCCCCAGGACGATGGTGACCGTCTTGAGCAAGGCCAGGGTTTGGGCGCTGGCGATTTCGGCGTGGCTGGAGCGCACGATGCAGTAGATGCGGCTGTAGAGCCCCACGATGGTGAGGAGGATGAGGGTGAAGATGGTGATGACGAAGAGGATGTAGCGCTTGGAGTAGAGGGGCAGGACGGTGGAGCAGTCGTGCAGGTCGCTCATGCAGTTCCAGCCCATGATGGGCAAGCTGCCGATGGCGGCGGCGATCACCCAGCAGGCGCCGATGAGCAGCACCATGCGGCAGTTCTTGTCGCTGCTGTAGACCTTCACCTTGGTGATGGCCACGTGGCGCTCGATGGCGATGGCCAACAGGCTGAAGACGGAGGCGGCCAGCGTGGCGAAGGCCGTGCCCTCCCGCACGAACCACTGCACCGGCGTCAGGCGGAACGTGGTGGCCCCGGAGAGCAAGATGTTGGCCATGAAGGCCAAACCGGCCAGCAGGTCGGAGAAAGCCAGGTTCCCGATGAAGATGTACATGGCCGAGTGGAATTTCTTGTTGCGGCAGACGGAGATGAGCACCAGGAGGTTCTCCAGCACGATGAAGCAGCACAGCACGACGATGAGGATGGAGACCACCCAGCGCGAGTTGCTTGGCGAGCCCTCCGAATCCTCCTTGGTGAAGTTGTAGTGCTCCCGAATCTTCTCCGTGTTGAAATACTCCTTGTAGATGCTCCCCATGGCTGCCCGGCCGGCCGCCCAGCCAGGACGCGGCGCCCGGCGGAGGGAGACCTGCGGGGAGGAAAAGCACCGGGGGTGTTGGTGGCACCGGGGGTGTTGGTGGCACCGGGGGGTTGGTGACACCGAGCGTCACGGCGCGGGCACGCACACGGCGTCTCGCGCTCGGCGCCGGGTGGCCGCAACGGAGCAGAAATGACTCAGAGAGGAAATCCGGGTGGCAGCGATAAGAGATGAGCCTCCAAGCTGCCCCGGGGTGCAGAGCGGGGCCACCGGATCCGTCCCCAAACTGGGGACACGGTGGGTGGCCCCGTTGATGCAGTTGGGGACATTTTAGGGCCGGCACCAGGCACTCGGCGCAGAGTGCCGAGAGGAACCGGAGCCCATGGGAGGGATGGGGACACCAGTAGGGACACTGGTGGGGACTGGGACACTGGTGGGGTCTGGGACACTGGTGGGGACAGGGACACTGGTGGGGACGGGGACACGTGGGGATGGGGACAGGGAACACCGAACCCCCCACGCAGCACCCATCCCACCACGGGGACCCCGCGCTGGTCCCAGTTAGGGCCGGGGGACCCAGCACCACCCCCCCAGTTCCCACCAGTTTGGGAGTGGGGGACCAGCACTGCGCCCCCCCAGTTAGGATGGGGACCGCCACCTCCCCATGGGGACAGGGGGCACGGCGCTGCCCCCCCCACCAGGATAAGGCCCACGCAGCCCCAAATGGCGACACCACACCCCCTTTTTTTCTTTTTTCCCCTTTCTTTTTTTTTGGGGTGGGGCGGGGCTTTCTAAGCAACGTGGGGGGCTCCGGGGGCTGTGTCCCCGACCCCCCCCACGAGGATGGAACAACGCTGGGACCCCCAGACACGTTGCAAGACCCCCCCCCCACTCATGCAATCACTCCCGGGACCCCCCCAGCCGGTCCCGGGACCGCCCAACCTCTCCCGGGACCCCCCCTCGCATCCAGTCCCGGGACACCCACGCCCCCCCCACGCAACCGATTCCGGGACCCCCCCTCGCAACCACCCCCGGGACCCCCTCCCCATGCAACCGATGCCGGGATCCCCCCCCGGAACCATCCCCGGGTCCCCACCCCGTATCCAACCCCGAGACCCCCACCCCGTAACCGGTCCCGGGACCCCCCAAAACCTCCGCTCCTGGGACCCCCCCCGAGGGGAAAAGGGTGAAAGGGAGGGGAAAAGGGGGGGGGGGAAAGAGGGACGCGTGCCCCCCACCTCCGGTCCCGGTGCCGGTGCCGGCCCCGCCGAGCGCTGCCTCCCGCCGCCGCCCGGGCTTTGCGCAGCCGCGCCCGGTGCGCGGGCACCGCCCCTCGGGCGTCGGGACCCCGGGGACCCCCGGGGACCCCCCCCGGTGATTGGGGTCGGTGAAACGGAGCCGTGCGACCCCCGCTTCCCCTTCCCCTTCCCCTCGTCCCCGTTCCCCGGTAGCTCCCCGGCCCCGTTCCCGGCTGCGAACGCGGCGCCGGGCGGAGCGAGGGGAACGGGCGGCTCCGGAGAGCGCAGCGGGACCCCAAAAACGGGACCCCAAAAAGGGACCCCAAAGGGGGGATTTTCGACCGGGATCCCAAAAAGGGTCCTCACGCCGGGATTCGCTCCCGGGATCCCAAAGCGCGATCCCAAAGTGGGATCCCCACCGGGATTCTCCCCCCCGGGATCCGGCACCGGGACCCAAATCCAGGACCCCCAGCAGGATCCCAAACTGGGATCCCCACCGGGATCCCAAAGTGTGACCCCAAACCGGGATCCCCACCGGATCCTCCCCTGGGATCCGGCACCGGGACCCAAATCCAGGACCCCCAGCAGGATCCCAAACTGGGATCCCCACCTGGATCCTCCCCCAGGATCCCAAAGCGCGACCCCGAACCGGGATCCCCACTGGGATCCTCCTCCGGGATCCCAAAGCACGACCCCAAACCGGGATCCCCACTGGGATCTTCCTCCGGGATCCCAAAGCGTGACCCCAAACCGGGATCCCCACCGGGATCCTCCCCCGGGATCCCAAAGCGCGACCCCAAACTGGGATCCCCACCGGGATTCTCCCCCGGGACCAAATTCCGGGTCCCAGTACTGGGATCCGGCACCGGGACCCAAATCCAGGACCCCCAACAGGATCCCAAACTGGGATCCCCACTGGGATCCTCCCCCCGGGACCCAAAATCCCGGGAGGACCGGGATGCTGCACTGGGGACCCTGCACCAGCACCCCAAACTGGGAGCCCCACTGGGATCTGCTCCTGGGACCAACACCAGGACCCCACAACGGGATCCTGCAACAGCGCCCCAAACCAGGACCCCAAACTGGGAGTCCCTCCTGGGATCCCAGACTGGGATTCTCTGCCAGAACTCCAAACTGGGACCCCAAAGCGGAATCCCCTAACTGGGATTCTCTCCTGAAACCCCAAACTGGGATCCCAAACGGGGATCCCGAACTGGGATTCTCTTCCAGAACCCTGAACCAGGACCCCAAACCAGGATCCCAAACTGGGATTCTCTCCTGGAACCCCAAAACAGAACCCTAAACTGGGGTTCTCTCCTGAAACCCCAAGCCAGGATCCCAAACTGGGATCCCAAACCGGGACCCCAAACCGGGATTTTATCCTGAAACTCCAAACTGGGATCCCAAACTGGAATCCCAAACTGGGACCCCAAACCGGGACCCCAAACTGGGGTTCTCTCCCAGGATACCACACCAGGCCCCCCCACTTCCCTCTCCCAGGACCCCAAAGTGGGATCCAGACCCCCCCCAGTGCCCCCATACTGCTGTGGGGCTGAGCTGCACAAGCCCGGCCCCATACTGGGAGCACCCCAATACCGGGCATGGGGCTCTGAGGGGGGGGGGCCTGGGAGCAAGGGGGGGGGGGCAGAGCGGGATGGGGTTGGGAGGGGCCTGGGACATTTTGGGGATCCTGGGATGCTTTGGGGTGTCCTCAGACATTTTGGGGGGTCCTGGGACATTTTGAGGGATCTAGGGACATTTTGGGGTATCCTGGGACATTTTGAGGGATCCTGGAACATTTTGGGGGATCCTGGGGCATTTTGGGGGGTCCTGGGACATTTTGGGGGTCCTGGGACATTTTGAGGTATCCTGGGACATTTTTGGGGGTCCTGGGAATTTTGGGGTCCTGGGATATTTTTGGGGGATCCTGGGACATTTTTGGGGGGTCCTGGGACATTTTGGGGGATTCCTGGGGCATTTTGGGGTATCCTGGGACATTTTGGGGGGTCCCGGCAGGATTTGGGGCACCTTATACACAGAGGGCCCAGACAAAAAGGATCGGAGGTGGCCCAGACAAGGCCCTGGCCCCCGAGGCATCTCATGGAGCGGGGGGGGGCACAGAGGTCAGGGCCCCCCCCTAGGTGACGAGGGCACGGAGCGGGGTCAGCGGGGCCGCGCAACACAGGGCCGCTTGTTCCCAAAATATCCACCCCACAAATTGGATCAGCCCCCGGGCGGCCTCGGTTTAAGCGGCCGGCGGAGGCGGGGGCCAGATGGCAGGATCCGGCCCCGGGGGGGGGGCACCGGACGGCCACCGAATTCCCCCCCCCAACACCACCGTGTCCCCAAAAAGTCCCAAAACCGTCCCCAAAACCCCTTGGGGTTTTGCAGAGCGGGGCCGCGGGGTGGGCACGGGATGTGCAAGGGGGGGGGGGTGTCGGCACCCATGGGGGCACGCGAGGGGACGGGAGGGTGATGGGATGTGGGTGCTGGCACCCTGTGCACACCCATAAATTGGTGCCCCATGGGTGCTGGCACCCTGTGCACACTCGTGTTGGTGTACGTGATGGCACGTGGGTGCTGGCACCCTGTGCACACCCATATATGGTGCCCCGTGGGTGCTGGCACCTGTGCACACCCATAAATGGTGCCACATGGGTGCTGGCACCCTGTGCACACCCGTGTGTTGGTGCCTGTGGGTGCCGGCACCCTGTGCACACTCGTGTTGGTGAAGGATGGCACACGGGTGCAGCACCCTGACATGCACCCATATTATTGGTGCCACATGGGTGTTGGCACCCTGTGCACACCCATATATTGGTGCCACGTGGGTGCCAGCGCCCTGTGCACACCCATATAGTGGTGCCCGTGGGTGCCGGCACCCTGTGCACACTCGTGTTGGTGTAAGCAATGGCACACAGGTGCCAGCACCCTGTGCACACCCATATATCGGTGCCCCATGGGTGCTGGCACCCTGTGCACACTCATGTTGGTGCAAGCGATGGCACATGGGTGGCAGCACCCTGTGCACACCCATATAGTGGTGCCCCGTGGGTGCTGGCACCCTGTGCACACTCGTGTTGGTGCAAGCGATGGCACATGGGTGGCAGCACCCTGTGCACACCCATATAGTGGTGCCCATGTGGGTGCTAGCACCCTGTGCACACTCGTGTTGGTGCCCCATGGGTGCCGGCACCCTGTGCACACTCTGTTGGTGTAAGCAATGGCACAGGTGCCAGCACCCTGTGCACACCCATATAGTGGTGCCATGTGGTGCTGGCACCCTGTGCACACTCATCTTGGTGTTAACAATGGCACGTGGGTGCTGGCACCACGGTGCACACCCATATAGCGGTGCCCCATGGGTGCAGGCACCCTGTGCACACCCATATAGTGGTGCCAGGTGGGTGCCAGCCCCTTGCACACCAATATTGGTGCCAGCACCACCACACGGGTGCCGGCACCCTGTGCACACCCCCACACACGGGTGCCCCCACCCCTTGCACACCCATATCAGTGCCAGGGATGCCACAAGGGTGCCCCCACCTCTTGCATACCTATAGACACGGGTGCCCCCCCCTGCACACCTATAGACATGGGTGCCCCCACCCCTTGCACACTCATATCGGTGCCAGCACCCCGTACACACCCGTATACATGGGTGCCCCCACCCCTTGCACACCCACACCCACGGGTGCCCCCACCCTGTGCACACTCGTACACATGGGTGCCCCCCCCCTTGCACACCCATACCAGTGCCCCCACCCCTTGCACACTTGTACCGGTGCCAGGGATGCCACACGGGTGCCCCCACCCGTGCACACCCCATACCGGTGCCCCCACCCCTTGCACACCCCCACACACGGGTGCCCCCCCCCTTGCACACCCATACCAGTGCCCCCACCCTTGCACGCCCGTACCAGTGCCAGGGATGCCACATGGGTGCCCCCACTCCTTGCACACCCACACCAGTGCCCCCCCCTTGCACACCCATACCAGTGCCCCCCCCCCCTTGCACACCATAGACACGGGTGCCCCCCCCCTTGCACACCCACACCAGTGCCCCCCCCTCAGCTCCTTGCCCCACCACCCGGCACCGCAGCCGTTACCCCTTGCACAACCGGCCAACGGCCCCCCCCGGGGACACCGAGCTTGGAGGGGGGGGCACAAACACACACACACACACAAAACACACACACATGGAGGGGGGGGGGGGCGTGCAAGGGTCCCGCTCCCACGGCCGAGGCTCCGGGGGGGGCCACGCAGCTGCGGGGCAGATGTCGGCGGGGGCCGCAGCAGCTGGTCCGGATTAGGGCCCCCCCCACCCCCCCCCGCCCCATCCCAAAGGGGCCGGGGGCGAACAATGGGGGCACCACGGGGGGGGGTGGGGGGGGGCAGGAGCCAGGACCCCCCCCCCAAAGATAATGAGGGGGTGTTATAGGCCCCCCCACACCAAGGATCGGTCCCTGTGGGCCCCCCCTCCCCGTATGGTGGTGTGGTGGTGTCCCCCCCCCATTTTTGGGGTCTGGGGGCAAATTGGGGAAGGGGACACCGGGGGGGGCACCGGGGGGGGCACACATTGGGGGGGCACTCGTGGAAGGGGGGGGTCCCGCTCCATCGCGGTGGGGTGGGGGTGGATAGGGCCACCCGTAATTTATTTATTTTTTTTTTGGGGGGGGGGAATTGGGGAGGGATGCGGGGAGCCGGGGGGGGGCGGATCCTTCCCTTGGGGGGGGGCGCACGCCAAATTTGGGCACCCCCCCTTAATAGGGGGGGCCGGGGGCAGCCGCAATCTGCACGGATTTTTTTTTTTTTTTTTTGGGGGGGGGGGCACCGAAAGGGGCCAGGGCTGCCTCCCCCAAAAAAACCTCCCCCCCCCCCCCAAAAAAAAATCCCCACCCACGTAGCCACCCGTGAGCCGGATTTTGGGGAGGGGGGGGGCGAGCTTTCGCGCCTCGTTTTTAGGAAAACGGGGGGGTCAGGACCCTAAATTTTTTTTTTTTTTTTTTGGGGGGGGTCGGGGGGTAAAGGGGCCCGGGGGTGGGGTGGGCACGGGGCACGGCCACGGGGGGGGGCTCGCGGCGCCTCTTACCGGCTGCGCTCCGCTCCCAGCATGTGCGCGGGGGGCTCCGGTGGCGTCCGGGTGGGGCGGCCCGGGGCCCTCCCCGCCCCCGGGGGGGGGGGTCGGTGACGCCCCCCCCCCCCCATCCCCTCCCCCTCCCCCATCCTCCCCTTTCCCCATCTCCCTCCCCCCCCCCCCGTTTTTTTTTGTTTTTTTTTTTTGGGGGTTGGTTGGAGCATCTTTGGGGGGATTTGGGGGGGGCTCATAGGGCTCCCCCCCCCCTAAATAATTGGGGGGGTTCCCTGGGGGGGGGGGCGGGGATGGGAGGTGTGTCCCGGCCCCCCTCTCCCCCCCCCCCTTCCACGCCCCCTGGATTTTTGGAGTGGGAATCGGGGGATTTTATGCTTCCGGAGGGAGATTTTTGGTTTTTTTTGGTGGGGGGGGAGGTGGGGAGGAGACTGGGAGGAGGGATACTGGGGGACTGGGAGGACTGGGGGGACTGGGGGGACTGGGGGAACGGGGAGGGGGAACTGGGGGTATTGGGGGTGTACTGGGGAAACTGGGGGGGACTGGGGGGACTGAGGGGAGAACTGGGGAGGTACTGGGGGAACTGGGGGATAACTGGGGGCGACTGGGAGATCTGGGGGTACTGGGGGTAACTGGTGGGAACTGGTGGGACTGGGGGTATGGGGGGATACTGGGGGACGGGTACTGGGGGAAGTGGGACTGGGGGCTGAGTACTGGGGGAACTGGGGGGACTGGGGGCACTGGGAATAGTGGAGGTACTGGGATTACTGGGAGCACTGGTGGTACTGGGGGAGACTGGTGGGTACTGTGGAAGCACCGGGGGTTGGTGGGGTACTGGGAAGACGGGAGACTTGGGGTACTGGCGTATCTGGGATTACTGGGAGCACTGGTGGTACTGGGAATACTGGGGATACTGGGGGGGAATGGGGCACTGGAAGGCACTGGAGGGTACGTGAGGTTACTGGGGGACACTACTGGGGGTACTGGGGATACTGGGGAGTACCGGGGGGCACTGGAGGGTACTGGGAATACTGGGGGGCTGGGCGGGGTACTGGGGTGCTGGGGGATAGTGTGAGGTACTGGGAGCACTGGGCCACTGGGGGCACTGGTGGTACTGGGAATACTGGGGGGACTGGGAGGGGACTGGGGGCAGCGGGGATAGTGGAGGCACTGGAGGTACTGGGAGTCGACTGGGCCACTGGAGGCGCTGGTGGTACTGGGCATACTGGGGGATGGATACTGGATGATACTGGTATGAGCGCACCGGGTGCGTTGGGGGCTGGGGAACTGGGGAGCACTGGGAGTGGACTGGGGTACTGGGGAGTAGTGGACTGGGAGCACTAGGTACGGCATGGGGAATGGCGCTGGGACATGGGCTGGGAGCTGGGAGGTTTGGAGCACTGGTTACTGGGGATACTGGGAGCTGGATAGGGGCTGGGGCGGATACTGGAGGGAACTGGGGGGTACTGGGAACACTGGGGGGTATTGGGGATACTGGGAGCAGTCGGTGAGGGTTACTGGGAGCACTGGGGATGGGGGATTGTGAGGGATAGTGGGGCATACTGGGAGCACTGGGAGTACTGGGACGTACTGGGGAGCACTGGGGAGGAGGTGATATTGGGAGCACTGGGCGTTACTGGAAGCACTGGGCCATACTGGGAGCACTGGGAGTTACTGGGACGTACTGGGTGTAGTTCACTGGGAGATGGGAGTTACTGGGCGACGGGCACTGGGAGTTACTGGGCCGTACTGGGAGCACTGGGGAGGGAGTTATGGGAGATGGGACTACTGGAGCCTGGGAGTCTGGACATACTGGGGCCTGGCATTACTGGGAGCACTGGGGACGGCTTATTGGTTACTGGGCGATACTGGGAGCACTGGGCCATACTGGGAGCGCTGGCCCCGCCTCCCCGGAAGCCCCGCCCCCCCGCCCCTCGATCTTGACGTCATCACTGGCGCCGCGCGCGCCGCGCCAGGCCCCTCCCCTTCCGTGACGTCACAATCAGCGCTCCCCCCCCCGCCATGTTCCGCGCCGGGCCCCGCGGAGCCGCCGCCGCCGCCTGGGCCTGGGCCCGGGCCGCGAGGGTGAGTGGGCGGGGCCTGGGGGCGGGGGCGGGGCTTGGGAAGGGGTGGGGGCGGGAGGGGGGGGTGGGGGCGGGGCCTGGGGGAGGTGGGCGGGGCTTGGGGGGAGATCGCCTGTGTGGGGGTGGGGGGGCTTGGAGGAGTGGGCGGGGCCTGGGGGAGGTGGGGCGTGGGTGGGGTGGGACGTGGCTTGAGGGGGATGGGCGGGGCTTGGGGTGGGCGTGGCGCTGTGAGGTGGGAGGGGCTTGTGGGGTGGGCGTGGTTTGGGGGCGTAGGGGGCTGGTCTGGAGGAGGGCGGGGCTTGGAGGTGGAGGCGAGCTTGGCGGTGGGGTGGGCTGGGGTTGGAGGGGTGGGAACGGGGGGGAGTTGGGGGGAGGTGGGGGTGGCTGTGGGAGGGGTGGGCGGTGGCTGGGGGGGGCAGAGGGCGGGGCTTGTGGGAGGGGGGAGTTTGTGAGGGGGGCGGGGTTGGGGGTGGCGGGCTGGGTCTGGGGCGGGGGTCCCGACTCACGGCCGTGAACCCAGCAGGGGGCGGCGGGCACGCGGGAGCGGCGGAGGGAGTGGGGGGGGACGGGGATGGGGGCATGGGGAAGGGCAGGGGACACTGGGGGGGCGTTGGGGGACTGGGGGGACACTGGGGGCATGGGGGGGGCATGGGGATGGGGGGCATCGGGGTTGGGGTCATCATTAGGGACAGGGTGGCTGGGGTGGACATCAGGGGATTGGGACGGATTGGGCATCATGGGGACAGGTGCTGGGGTAGGACATGTTGGGGACAGTGGCTGGGGGTGGGGCTCATGGGGACATGGCGTGCTTGGGGTAGACATGTGGGGATGGGCTGTGGGGTCGGGGTCATCAGGGGACAGGGTGGCCATGGGGTTAGGGATATCCATTGGGGACAAGTTGGTTGGCCATGGAGTTGGGGTCATCATTAGGAACAGGACAGCTTTGGGGTCAGGAACGTTGTTGGGGGGGGGTAGTGGTCAGGGGATGGACGGGTGCTTGGGTTGGGCATTGGGGCGGTGGCATGGGCAGGTATCAGGCGGATCGGTCAGGACTCCTGGGAAGTGGCCATGGGGCTGGGGTCATCATTAGGGACAGGGTGGCTCGGTTGGGGTTAGGGGCTTGGGGTGTGGCGGGTCAGGGTCATCATTAGGGACAGGGGCCAGTGGGGTCGGGACATCTGGGGACAGTGGGCCATGGGGCTGGGGACATTGGAGACAGGGTGGACTGTGGGGTTGGGGATATTGGGGACAGGATGGCCATGGGGTCAGGGTCATCATTAGGGACAGGGTGGCTGCAGGGTTGGGGACACCATGGGGGCATTAGGAACAGGACTGTGGTGTCAGGGTCATCATGGGGACAGGGTGGCCATGGGGTTGGGGTCATCCTTAGGAACAGGACGCTTGGTGGGGTCAGGGACATTGTTGGGGACAGGGTGGCCATGAGGTCAGGATCATCATGGGGACAGGGTGGCCATGGGGTCTGGGGTCATCCTTAGGAACAGGATGATGTGGGGTCAGGGACATTGGGGACAGGGTGGCTGTGGGGTCAGGGTCATCAAGGGGACAGGGTGGCCATGGGCTGGGGACATTGGGGACAGGTGGGCGTGGGGGTTGGGGATATTGAGGGACAGGATGGCATGGGGTCAGGGACATCCTGGGGACAGTGGGGGCCATGGGGCTGGGGACATTGGAGACAGGATGGAAATGGGGCTGGGGACATCCTTGGGGACAGGATGGCCGTGGGGTTGGGGTCATCATTAGGATGCTGGGTAGGACATTGTGGGACAAGTTGGGGGTCAGGGACATTGGCAGATGCATGG